AATAATTTAAATTAATTAGAATAAAAAAAAAAACATAAGATAGATAGAATTGCATTTCCTTCGCCTTAATATTTTTACTGCTATTGCATTTCATATATTATAAAGAGTTGCCGAAAATTAGTGATACTATAAAATATGCAATATAAAACTTTTTTGTTATATTTTTAAAATCTAAAACTTTATTCAAACTATAGATAAATATTTTTCATAGTTGCATTAAAGATGAATTCAAATTGTCTACGCCCTTTAAACAATTTCGGAAATTTCATAATGTCACCTAAGATGCTTTCGTATTGTGTATAAATTCTGCTCGCTATATGAAACTTAAATTCCTGTAACTTTTTCAAATTTATATTCCCAAGCACAACGTACAAAATTTCCGCATATTCCTTTCTTTTCCTATGCAAGGAGCATGTCAACCTATTTAACACGGAGTTCTAAGCGCTTTACCATTTCCATTAAAAATTGATTAGTCACGCTCAAACTGCATCCATTTTCCGCTGCTTTGCATTTAAGCGGGCAACTTTAAAGTGAAAGTTGTAGAAGAAGAAGAAGAAAAAAAAAACGAAGGTGACAAAAGCTGATGACACCATTTTGTGAGCTGTGCATGAAAAGTGAATTGCCAAGAAAGTGAAATTTTAATTATTTGCCTATGTGTAGGTGTGTGCAGGTGTGTGTGTATGTGTGTGTGTGTTCCCTGAATGACAGCTTGGCTTGAGCTCTCGGGCTGGCTGACTGGCCTGGATGTAGACAGGACGCACACATCCTGCCAGGCCGCCTGCCAGGCGAGTGTCGAGCAAATTACATGCAACGTCATGTGGCATGTGGCATGTGGCATTTGGCTCATTCGCACCTTTCGCTAAAGGTGGGCGAGAGTAAAGTGCTGGAGTGAGTGCGAGCGAGTGTGAGCGTGTGTTAGACATGTTGCATGCTGCATTCATTGGGGCAAAGTTTCTGTTGCGTAGAGGGCAGCCAAAGGTGGCTTTCATTTGTACCAACATATATCAAGTCGGGTGCTAGGCGTTTGCTTTTGTTAGTGAGACAACCTCAATTCATATTAGATTCTCTATAGTGTAAGTCTGTGTGTGAGTGTGTGTTGTTTGTTGCCTGTCTGCCTGCCTGCTTCGCAGTGTCCCAGGCAAAGTTGGGATTCAAACTAAAAATGGAGCGCACAAACAAAAGACACTGCGCCTGAAAGCCACACAGTCAAAAAGGGGGTGTGGCACGCAGGAGTGCAGTGGAGAGCAGCGAGAGTAATGGCAGCAGTTGGGCTTGCACTGGGATAGCTGCTGCTCGAGGCATAAAAATAGGCCTACAACTGCGCATTCACTGGCGCGCGCTAAAAGTCACACACAGAGCGAAGAAAAAACTGCTGCAAAGCATTCACAATCCACACACACACACACACACACACACACATGTGGCATGTAAATAAAATGAATAAATAAAATTGTGCACATGTGTTGTGTTCACACCTGCCGCTAAAATACACACGCATACACTCTCACACACATAAAAGTTGCGAGCCCAAATGAAGTGCGAGCTGCGCGCTGCGAGTTGCGATATTTCGTTTCGTTGCTGCTGCAAAATGAAGTTGAAAACAAATGCGGCACAATGCTTTGGCCACTGGCTGGTTATACCCTGTAATAGTGTAGGATGTGGATATGAGAAGTGCAAGGGCAAATATGTAATTATGTGAGAGAATTGTAATAATTGAATAAATATTTTTTTTTAGAAAATATAAAAAATTATATTGTCTGACTGATGACAATCGCAGAAATTCATACAAGTACTGAGCATCATTCCTCATGAATGTGAAATGTTTTCTACAGGTCATCGGCCAGTTGTTCACACAGTAAGAAAGTTTCCTCTTCTGATTCTTCGCTGCTTTTCAGTTGTTACTCAAAAATTGCTGGCAGTAAAAACTGCAGCACGCACACACTCCAGCAGCAGCAGCAGCAGCAGCAACAACAACAATAACAACAACAGCAATTACAGTCGCTGTGCCAGGCATAAAAATGCGAAAATCGGGTCATTTTGTTACAGTGGAGCTGGAGCTGGAGCTGGGGGTGTTAACACAGCCATCAGTTACCCTGTAAAACAGCACGGGACCAGAACAGTGCAACAAGAACGGTTGTTGCTGTTGCTGCTGTTGTTGCTGCTGCTGCTGCTACTCCTGYTTCATCGTAAAGTTTATGTTCTGTGCAAAGTGTCAGCGCGTCAAGTCGAAGTATGTGTGCACCTGACTGACTGAGTGACGGACTGACTGGCTGACTGGCTGACTGGGAGTCTCTGTTGCCAGCGAGCGGTGCTTAAAGTTTTTATTCAAGGCATAAGTTGCGAATTGCTTAGGTGTGGCAAATGCCATTGTGCTGCTGCTGCTGCTGCTATTGCTGCTGCACGATGTTGCATGTAAATCTTGCTGCTTATGTGCCGCAATTAACGCCAGCAATCAATGTGGCAAACTTCTCAAATGCGCCCATAAACGATTCAAGTATTAACACTTGGCATATCAATTTATATAAAACATGATTCTTGTTCCAACTGACTGTCAAAGTCAGAAGTAGGAGCGATAATGTGCAAATTTATAAGTGAGGTAGGAATTTACAGCTGATGAGGTGTGTGAGTGTGTGTGTGTGTGTGTGTGTGTGTGCGTAAGAAGGTGTCATTATACTTGGGCTTGAAATACTTTTATTGACAACATTTGGCACTACATTGACTACAATTTAATGCTTTGCTTAATATATTTTATATTTTCATATAGTATATCTTATTTTATATGACTGGGCATATCATATAATTTGATTCAAGATTTACAAGTACATATATATCTTTTTCTTCTTTATAAAAAAAAATGGAGTATGCTTTCGTTAGTATAAAAGTTATTACATTAATCTATTCGTTTAATATAAGAGCCTATAAAAAGAGATTCGTTCAGACTTGTATATCTTCCAAATCTATATCCAGATGATTGATTTGGCAAACCTTTATATTAATTAATTCGCTTCAACTTTAATCCTAAATCTAACTAAAGATGAAATATTGAAGCTTAGCTAAAAGAAATTATATATAATAAATTAATAACGATTCATAGCTTTAATAATGGCATATATCTCGCAAGTTTTCTTCACGTCCGCCTGCTCTCTCTATGGAGATAATCAGATAGTAACTGTAGAATCATTTTGTACATTTTTAGTCACTATTTAATTATCTTATACTTATACTTATATCATCTTAGATAATAACTGTTTTACTTTTATATACATGCAAATTTAATGAGAGATAGCTATATTTAGTTATATTGTCTAAGTCTTATATACCAGCTCCTAGCTATGCAACTTTACTTGAATATATATATATACATATATTTTACATTTTAAATCTATATCATATATAACTCCTACAATATTCTCATATTCTATAGCACATAAATCTTTTCTATTTCTGACCAATTCTCGCTGTCTGCAGCCAAAATAATTTAAAATTTTGCTATTTACACTTGAGCGTAATATTTATGCACTTTTCATTCCAACTCTCTCTCTCCCTCTCTCTCTCTTCCTCTCTCTCTCCCTCTCTCTCTCTCCTTCTCTCTCTCCCTTCTACTGCTTAGCAAATGCCTCTATCGTTTTCAATTTTTTTCGGCTCCTGCAACGCTTTAACATGCTCCCCAGGGATATTGAGGCGTTTGACACTAGCAATATTTTAAGTGTTAACTGCATTCGCAGCTGCATTTGCATATTTTACGTGCACGCTGCTGGATGCCACGGTTGCCTGGGCAACAGTTAGGGGCGGCCTTTTTGGGGGGTGTGTGGGTGGGTGTAACGGGGTATTCGGGGCTGGTCTCAAAGCAATTTGAAGATTTAACACCTGACAGCTGCCTCAGCTGGTGCTCCTGCTGCTGCCGCTGCTGTTGGCAGCTAGTGCTGGTGGGCGTGGCAAGGCCAACGTAAAGGCCAAGCGTCGTTGTCCCCAGAGCAGTTGCAATTCAATTTAAAGCACAAAAAACTGCCACACACACAGGAGAGAGAGAGAGAGCGAAATCGAGAGAATGAAGTATAGAGATTGAGAGAGATAGCCGAGTGTGGGTAACTGTAAAGCATCATCAATTCAGCTGCTTATCAGCGAGACAGTCAACGTCTCTTATCTGTCAAGTTGCCAAGTGATTAAGCTTTAAGGATGCCAACGCAAGCTGTTTAACTGAGCGTGCCCAACAATGGAGCTAGCTGGCTTTTGGTGGCGCTGGTGTTGGGGACTTTGGAGTTGGGTTGGGGGAGGAAGGGGTCATGCTCCTGCTCAAGGATAGCCGCGATTATCTTCTATGCTATCTACTATGCATTTTTATTGCCTGTGATTTATACGGGCGCCAGAGCACATGTCATAATTGCGCCCCTGGGAGGTCAACTGTAAAAAGGACACGGGCATGCGGCAAAGCCAAATGCAGCAACAATCCAGAACAACAGAGCAAAACAAAGCGAAAACGGAAAGCGAATCCTGCTTTAAGTCCTGTTTGTTGCACTGCATGTGTCTGTGTGTGTGTATATGTGTGTGTGTGTGTCTTTGTAACACTCTCTGTGCGGCATTGCTGAAA